TGGGGGGGGGGGCTGGGGGAGGAGTTCGGTCTTGTTTGTGCTTTCCGTGTTCTTTCTGCTGTTCCCGGAGCCAGGTACACCGGTGCTTTGTGCTTGGTCGGTTGCCAAGTTTCTGCGTTCCTGCCCCTCGTGGGTTGCCAAGTTCCTGCTTCTGCCACTGCTCATACCTAGACGGGAGTTTTGGACTCGGGCTGCCAGGGACCTCAGAGGAGGCCCAGAATTTTGAAAAAAACCTCAAGTTCCTCCAATGCAAATTGGGAAGCTGGTGGGACACAATGTTCCCTTGCTCTGTACTTAGCACAGGGTCCAGGTCCACAAGGTGGACCTGCGTGGGCTGCTTCACAATCCTGCTGACTATGGCAAGTAAATGACAACATAAGAAACGGCCAAACTTGTAGAGAATTCTTAGGCAAGGTTATTTGAGCCAATCTGAGGACATATGCCAAGAAGCAAGACCTCAAACGCTCCCCAAAATAACAGTTTTGCAGCTTCTTTTACGCATTTGAAATTAAGGAGGAAAGGTAAGGAACATTATTACATGAGGGAGAGAGAGCAAGGCAAGGATTGGATTGAGGCGGGATAGTAAGAAGCTAGGAAAATTCATTGACAAGTGGAATAAAGGAAATTGAGACAAAGTAATTAAGGCCAAACAATTTGAGCAATTTACAGCCAGCTAATGAATCACAAGGTTTTATCTTCCCAAACCAAGGACACTTAGGAGCAAATGATTTACATATTCCAGATCATCCCGGAACAGACCGGCCTCAGTCCCAGTCCCTCTTCAATGACGCTCTTTGAAAATAAAACTAACCAGAAAATAACCCTGACCCCTCTATACATACATTTTGATGAATCAGCATATTGAAGGACATGCCTGGAAAACTAATGAATATTCTGTTAAGACCTTTCTCTAAGACCTCCCCTAGGATCCCCACCAGCCAAAGAAAGATAAGAAGCCTCAAGACAAAGGACCCATGGCACTCTCTCGCCAGAGCATGCCCACACCTTGTATCTCTATTCTTTTTCTCCTAAACTCTAAAGGTTCCCATGAGACTTGAAGCCAGAGAAGCAGCAGGCAGCAGCAGCTCATCCTGGGCTTAGCGCTTGAACCTGTCTCCAAGGCCCCCTTTCTCTCTGACTTTCCAGTAAGCTAACGGCAGCCCTGCCTTGGCTCACCTCTTTTACTGTGACTTCTATTTCTCAGTGAGCCAAAGCAGCTCCACCTAGGCTCTCTCCTGTTGCTTCTTTTATCTTAAGCCTTTCCTTTGTTTTACTGTCCCCAGCTTTAATAAACATACTCTCAAAATCACCTGGACTTATGTTGTGAAGTCTGTCCTGCACGAAGTCAAGAACCCACATGTTACCAGCCAGCCCAAGGCAGACCTGCTTCAGGCCCAGTTCCCGTTCAGTAACAGGATTACAAAATGGTTAACAAGTTTATGTGTTAACCTCTCTTGAGGGTTCATTCCCCCTTTTGAGAGGTATTACTTCTGATATTTCAAAGGTGTGTTCACCTGGATGCACAAGAACAATTAAAGGCTGGCTTAAAACCTATAACTAAGCCCAGCCGGTGTGGCTTAGTGGTTGAGCATCGGCCTATGATCCAGGAGATTGAGGTTTGATTCCCCATGAGGGCACATGCCTGGGTTACGGGCTCGATTCCCAGCAGGGGGCTTGCAGGAGGCAGCTGATCAATGACTCATTGATGTTTCTCCCTCTCCCTTCCTCTCTCTGAAATAAATATATTTTTTAAAAAAAATTTTTAAGAACATTTTTTAAAAACACCTATAACTAAGAAACGGGGCATGACTACCTATCATTCCCACTCAGGAATTTATGATCAGCTCAGCTCACCCTGTGAGGATACTTTTCACATAACTTTTTTTTTCTCACAGGTTTACTCTCAAAACAGAGCAGAACTCTCACATCTGACTTTTTATTAACCCTTAATAGCCTATGACAATTTTTCCTTCCTATGTGACAAGACATTCCTACACCTTTCATCCTAACCCTCACATTCCATACCATTCCAGAGCCCCCTCTAAACACAGCTACTTAAGGAAATCATTCCCAGTCTTCAAAATTCTGAGCTGACTCTTAAGTTTATGTGAAATCCACATTCCCCTCCCCTGGGGCAAAATAATGTCCTGTTTGAACATTAGGAAGACTGCAAGGAACAAAATACAAATACTCTAGAGGGAGAAATGTGGTGATAAATAAATTAAAAAGTATGACACTTTGGGGGGGAAATTTTTTAAACACGTGACATGAGAAAAATCTCAGATCAGTGAGGAAACCCAAAGTCCATATGAACATGCCAGGGCCAAGGCAGATTGGAACATGAGATCCTACCACACCTGTGACAGGAGTGATGGGGCCCAAGTGGTTGAAAGGCAAGATACCTCAAAAAACCTGAGTCCACTCCAGAGGTCAGAGAAAAGGAAAGGGCAAAGAGGCACAACCCCAGAGAAACTTCCTGGAGCGATTCAGATTTCAAAGGAGGAGTGAGAGGCTCGGAGAGCTTGGCAAGAAGAGGTAGAAAAATTGCTCCTGACCAGGAGGGTGTGAGAGAGCTGAGAAACGAGAGTCACAGAATGCAGATGACCTGAGGGTGGGGCTTGGCTACAGTCATAAACTGGTCACATCAGGGAAGATAAAGGTGTCCTTCCAAGGTCATGCCCTGCCCATCCAACAAAGATCACCAACAGCTTCCTCTGCAGGCAGGACTAATTTCAAGTGAAATTTCAGGATGCCTACACCAGAAGGGCCCCCTTGCCACAAACTATCCCCTTCTTAACAATTCCTCAATCAATTTAGGGTAGAGCATGTGGCTCTGTATCAGAGGAACCCTCTACAAATAGCACATTAGCCCCTAGGGTATATGGAAAGACCTGTTTTCATATAAATGACTTTTTCATAATTCAATGTTTTATATAACGCATGAAAAATTACCTTGAAAGAAGTAAATGAACAAACAATTTCTAAAAACTAAGAATAAATAAAAATTTTCTCTTGGCAAGAGAGTAGATGGCATCAAAGGCTAAGGACTGCTGAACTAGATAGATAGGATATGCAGAGAACACAGGCTGTCAAGAAGAAGGCACGATAGTGAAATGTGCCTTTTTCATTGGAAGACATTTGATGTTCATTGGGTAAAGAAGCCTCAAGAATTTCCCTTCATCCAGCCGGGTGTGGCTCAGTGGTTGAGTGTTGACCTAGGATCCAGGTGATCGGGGCTCGATTTCCGGTCAGGGCACATGCCCGGGTTGTGGGCTAGGCAGCCGATCAATGACTCTCATCTTTGATGTTTATGTCTCTCCCTCTCCCTCTCCTTTCGTCTCTTTGAAATCAACAAAGATATTTTTTAAAAAAAAATTTCTCTTCAATATCCCTTTTGAATATCACTGCACCTGCCAACCCCTCAATCTTTTTCCTGAACTCTGTTTCCACTAAATTGATCTCAGTGGTTCTCAGATAGGTCTGGCGCAGTGCCTTTTGGTCTTTGCTCGTTTATCCATTGAACTAGTTTTTATTTATATGTTCTTATTGATTTGAGAGAGAGAGGAAGGGAGAGGAAAAGAGAAAAAGAGAAACATCGATGTGAAAGAGAAACATAAATTAGTTGACTACCCTATGCACCCCCACCAGGGATCAAACCAGAGAATGTGCTGTGACCAGGAATCAAGCCAGAAACCCGTCAGTGCTGGGGTTGACCTCCAGCCAACTGAGCCGCACAGGCCAGGGCCATAGATCCATTTTGGTGTTTATTCATTGTCTTTTTTCTGCCAGTAACTGGGATGAGTATTAAGGACAGAGAAATGAACATAACACACATCATTCCTGTTCTTATAAAATTTGCCCCTAGGTGACAACAGAAATTCTATCCCTGTTCAATATCCTGGTCAACCACATCTCTCCTGAAGCCTTTCCCAGCGCCACTTCACACTGGACTTCCTTCTCTAACGAAGCTCCTGTTGACACCCACCTTTAATACTAATTACAAGATTTATAGAAAGGTCTTGATTGCACTTGGTTATTAAGCTGTTTAGCCTTTTGTGATTAACTTATGAAACATTTTTTGTTCTTAGTTTGTAATTATTAGGCATTGTTAAGTTTCATCAGTTTTGTCTTTGCAACTGGAAGAGACAAAATATTCTTTCTGCACTTTCATAAAAATTGCCTTGTTTTCAGACTGTGCTTTGAATCAATAATTTCTGCTTTTGAGTTTATTGTCTTTTTCTTTAATCTTTCCAGCATTTATAGACTCAACCATCCCAGATGTGGTCCTTGAATTCTTAAGTCCTTCACACCCTCCTATGTTAGCAGCCTCTTGGGAATTGAAATTCTGCCTTCAACAAGCATTATGTTTTAGTTGACAAAAAGACATAAGTAATTCAGCTGTTTGACCCTCCATACCATATCAAGGCCTGTAAACACCTCTTAAGATATCTGTATGTTCACTGCCTTCAGCCCCAATATGGCCCCATATCCCAGCCTGGTGCCCATCCTTACATTTTCCTGAGCCACTATTGCTTAAAAACAATTATTTCCCAACTTTGGTAGCAGTCACATCACTAAATCTGCTGCTGAAACAGATTCCTATTCTGACTTTAAGCAGAAAACAAATTGACTTAATTCTAGAATTAGTGGAGAGACTGGAAAACCCAGATCAGAATTAGGCAGGAGAAGAGGAAAATCACACCCTGGAACTAGTCCCGTATTCACATGCTGCTGCCAACAGAAGCAAGGAATGCCACAGCGTGGAGCAATGACAAGGTCCCAGTCCCCAGATCGCCTGGCTCGGCTCTCCCCTGGCAGGCCTTCTGCAGACTCATTGAACACAACATCCGCCCAGGCTGCCTTGCATATCCTGGTTTCTCACTGTCAGGAGAGGAGCCCATCTGGCACTCTCACTGGCCTGTGCATTTGCCTCACCTGGCCTGGGCTCAGAGCCCAGCCATTCCCAAAATGACACCTGGCTCTATCCCCAAGTAGCCTGCTCTAAGCTCCTGGGCTTAAGGAAGTCCAGAGCCTTCCAGCCAGGAACCATGAGCACAGTGGTGCCTGTCCTGCTGTCCCTGCTGCTCCTTCTGAGGCCTGAAGGCCCCTGGAGACCCACGCCACCAAGTGTGGAAGCGAGTGTTGGGCATGGAGAAGAATGATGAATGGGAGAAGGGCCCCTGGTGAAGCTGGAATTCAGGGCACAGTAGGAATGGGTGTTTGTTCGAGGCTTTCAACTAACTCAACTCACATTCTTCAAGAAGCATTCAGGGAGCCTCTGGACTCATGCAAAATCAGACCTTAAAGAATCATTATTTTAAAAATCTTAGTATACACGTGAACAAAATCATGGCCCAGAGCTGCAAAGGGGCAGAGCTGGAGCCACACAGGTGGAACATTTTGCTCCTTCCCCCCTTCTAATGGCTGGATGTACCTGTCTGACTCTCAGGGAGAGAGACAGCAACCCCAAGAGGCAGATGTGAAGGCAGGTGAACTGGAGGGATGATTCCGGAAGGAAACCCCTTCTCTCCATTGAATACAACAGTGGGCCTGGATGGCAAGTGACTAGGAAAGTAGCCCATGGGGGGCTGGGGAAGAACCAGGGTCAATTCTATGGCTGGGAATGAAGCTTTTATTCTCCACACAAAATTTCAGTGTGAGTAAATGTAAGCTAAACTGCACAAGTTTAGAATTGGTCACATTTACAAACTGTTAGAATATGTGTTTTATGTTACTTTTATACCCATTGATCACATTTAGGACATTAATCACATCCTGCTCTGGATTACTCCAAATTCAACCCTCCAAGCTGAGCTTCTAAAGAAAATCATTCCCATTCTTCAGGATGCTGAGCTGACTCTTACCTTTCTTGAAAGCCTAAATTTAAGTACTATACTTTTTTATTTTGATACTTCAATCTGATTTCAAAATCAAAGCTCAGAAATAGCTTCTTTAGTTTATGTGAAATCCACATTCCCCTCCTCTGGCTCAAAATAATGTCCCAGCTTAACTTCAGGAGGACCAGGAGCGAAATTTAAATAGTCAAGAAGTAACAACGTAGCAATTGATATTAAAAACATTATGACACATTGAAAAAAATAAAACACGTGGCAGGAGAAAAATCTCAGATCCATGAGAAAACCCAGTGTCCACCTAACAGGACAGGACCAAGGCAGATTGGAATGTGAGTTCGCACCCCATCTGTGTCAGGAGTGATGGGGCCCTACTGGACGAGAGGGAGGAAACCTCAGAAATTCTGAGTCCTGGCCAGATGTGGGGGAAAGGAAGAGAGCAGAGGCACTCACACACCCAGAGAAACTTCTTGAGGAATTTGGATTTCAGAGGAATGAAAGGCTCAGAAAGCTTAAGAAGAGGTGGAAAGATTATTGCTGACCAGGAGGGTGTGAGGCAGCTGAGAGTGGAGGGTCACAAGGCCCTGGCAGGGAAGCAATCTAAATTTGGAATCAGGTCATAATCATCAACTGACTGGTCACATCAGGGCAGATGCAGAGGTCCAGAAATGTGCATCCATTCGCAGTCACCTTCTGCCTGCCCAACTAAAACCACCAACATATCCCTCTGCAGGCAGGACCAACTACAACTACAATTTCCGATTCCCCACCCCAGGAGGGCCTCATTGCCACAAGTTGTCTCCTTCTTAACAATTCCACAGTGACTTTAAAATAGCATGTTGCTCTGTTTGGGGGAGGGGGGGGGCGGAGCTGCCAACAGCCTTTGGCCCACAAGGGTGTGTGAAAAACACTTGCATTTCCATGTAACATGCTTTCTCTGTATCCTGCATGTTTTAATTTATGCATTTAAAAGCATCTTGAAAGAAAATAAATGAATAAATAATTTCCAAAATTTTTTAAATAAAATTTATCTTGAGAATAACTGTCAAGGGAGTAGATGCACAAAAGACTAAAAACTATTGACCTAGAAGGATGGTGTGTACAGAGAAGGCACAATACTGAGATGTGTCCTATTCATTGGAAGGCACTGGATGCTTGCTTAATGAGGGACCTGCAGATTCTACCCCCAACCTTGTTTTTTATTTTATCATTCCACCTTGCCTACTTCTCAACCTTCTTCCTAACCTCTGTTTCCACCAAATTGTCCTCAGTGGCCCTCAGGTAGGTCTGGTATTGTCTCTTTTTCATCTTTGCTCATTTATCCATTCATCTACTTTTATAAGTGTTTACTAATTGTCTCCTTTCTGCCAGGCACTGGGCTAAGTACAATGATATTTTAAAGTCACTTGTACTTAGACAAGTGAACATGACCAACACCATCATGTCCTTTTAAAATTTGCCCAGCAGAAACTCTATCCCTGTGGGATATCCTGCTCAACCACGTCTCTCGTGAAGCCTTTCCTGACGCCATGCCACACTCGACTTCCTTCTCTCATGGAGCTCTTGTCATCCACTGTTCGTAGCAACCATACAAGATTTGTAGCAATGTCTTGATCACACTTGGCTATTAGATTTTTTAGGCTTTTGTAATTAAGTTATGAAAACTTATTTTTTGTTCTTAGGTTTAAATCATTAGGCACTATTAGGTTTTTATCTGTTTCATCCTTAAAACTAGAAAAGCCAAAAAGAATTTTTTCTGCACTATCATAGAAATCACCTGATTTTCAGATTGTGCTTTGAATCAATACTTTCTGCTTCTGAGTTAATTCTCTTTTTCTTTAAGCTTTCCAGCCCTATGGACTCAATCATCAGATTTTGTCTTTGAATTTCTCAAGCTACTTGGCACCTAATATTTTGCCTTCGCTGAGCATTTTATTCTAGTTGACCAAAAGAGATGACTCAGTCAACTGTTTGACCCTCCACTGCTTATCAGGGCATGCAAAAACATGCCCAAGATATCTGTATTTTCACTGCCTTCGGCCTCAGTTGGCCCTACAACCAAGATTGGTTGCCCTTCCTCCATTTCCATGAATGACTTGCTTAAAAAGAATCCTTTTCCAATTCTGGTAGCAGTCACATCATTAGTTGCTGAAACATTCCTATTCTGACTTTAAGCAGAAAATACATTTATTTACTGGTTTGTTCTAGAACCAGTGGAGAGACTGAAATACCCAGATCAGAATTAGGCAGGAGAAGCACAGGCAAATCACACCGCGGAACTAGTCCTATAATCACATGCTGCTGCCCACAGGGAAACAGATGCCACAGTATGGGCCCATGAAAAGTCCCAGTCTCAGATCATCTGTCTCACTTCTCCATTGGCAGGCCATCCGTGGACTCCCTGAGGAAAACACCCGCCCAGCCTGGCCTGTGTGTCCTGTTTCCTTACAGGCAGTGAGGAGCCCAGCCCGGCACTCTCATTGGCCTGTGCATTCGCCTCAACTGGGCAGGGCTCAAATCCCAGCCATTCCTAAAACTATAACTGGTTGTCTCTCCAAGTAGTCTGCACCAGGACCTCGGGAAGTCCAGGACCTTCCACTCAGACACAATGAGCGCAATGGTGCCTGTCCTGCTGTCCCTAATGCTTGTTCTGGGTCCTGCAGTCCCCCAGGAGACTCAAGATGGTGAGTTGGGAACCAAGGGCTGGGTATGAAGAAGAGTGGAGGGGAGGTAATGAATGAGAGAGATGGGCTGGGGAGGGCCCCAGGTAAAGCCGGGGTTCCTACTGTACAGTAGGAATGGGTGTTCAAGGCTCAGCTAACTCAGCTCACACACTTCCAGAGGCATTTAGGGAGCCTCTGGACTCATGCTAAGTAAGACCTTAAATAATTAGAATCTAAAATTCTTAGTAGGCAAATGAACAAAACTAAGACCCAGACAAGTGAAGTGCCCTGTCCCGGGTCAGATAGCCAGGACAGGGCAGGGGCCACACGGGGGGACTTTTTGTTCCTCTCTCCTTCCAATGACGGCATGTACCTGTCTGACTCTCAGGGAGAAAGGCAGAAACTCCAAAGAGCACTTGTAAACGCATATTAAGTGGGGGATGCTTCTAGAAGGGCCCATTTCCTCACTCCACAGTGAGACACTCCGATAGTGAGCCTGGAAAGCTAGTGACGGGGAAAGAAGCCAGCTAGAGGTTGGGCAGAACCAGAGTCCATCTTACAACAGAGTAATAAGGGGTTTTTTGGCATACAGAATTTCAGGATGAAGAAATGTAAGCTAAGCTGTGTAAATTTAGAATTTGTTACATTTACAAACTGTCAGAATATGTGTTTTATAACAATTGGTCATATTGAGATTGTTAATCACATCCTACACCATAATCCAATTTTGTCAGGGCTCTCAAGAGAAACAGAATGAATGGCATGCATATCACAGAAAGAGAGATTTATTTTAAGGGTGTGGCTTACTCCATTGTGGGGACTGGGAAGTCTGAAATCTGCAAAGTTGGTGAGCACACTGGAGACCCAGAGAAGAGATGATGTTGCAGTCTTGGATCCAGAGGCAATCTGGAGGCAGAGTTCCTTTCTCCTTTGGAGACCTAAGTCTCTTCTCTTGTGGCCTTCAACTGATTAGAGGAGGCCCACCCACATTATGTGGGGTATTCTTTATTCAACATCTCTGAGTAAAATGGTAATCACATTTAGAAACTAATTAGTGAGAAAAACTTCAGTCCTGGAATGAAGAATCTGCCATATGACTCCAACATTAGTAACACCCTTGAGAGTGTTACTAATTCATGAATTATATTATGAATTCATTATCAAATTAATTATAAAAATGTCCTGCCCCTCTCCCAGTCCCTGCCTCATACCAAAATACAGGGATGGCCTTGCATTTCTGAGCTCCATCCTGTTCTTACCTTATGCTGATCCATTCTGGGTCATCTTCTGAGGTTTCTAGTCAATTCTCCTTCCTACACTTTCTAACTGTATGTGTTTGTCAGGTTCAACTAGGCTATGCTCCAGTAACAAAGACAGTTTTTAGTGGTTTAACCTAGCAAATGTTTATTTCTTGCTCATGTAAAAAGAATACAGATCAGGTAACTTTTCTGTCCTCAATGGGATTCAAGCGGTTTGCACCTTAGGTCTCTTCTGTTTCATCATGTGGCCTCCACAGTCATCACCTAAATAGAAGAGAGACAGAGGTTTCTAATTGGCTTGCAGGGTCTACAACCAAAAGAAAGAAATCACTTTCCTTCACATTCTCTTTTAACAGAACTCTGTCATGGGCCCAATATACCTACAAGAAGGCTGAGAAATATCTTTTGATGTGCCTAGAGAGGAAACAATGTAGTGAAAACATAAAATGGTTTCTGAATATTATCCCCAGAATAGAAGTAGAGCCTGTACTCTCAAGTGAGTTTCCAGTAGTACCTGGCTGACAGCAGGTGGAGATAGCTCGAGAGGAAGAAGCCCAGTGACCAGGTCTCCCTTCCTGGTCCTCCTGTCCCACATTAGGACTCCCCTGTGTGGACCCCACAGCTCAATATTTTCTCTTTTTTTGCAGGACCTTACTCTCTGACCTTCGTCTATACTGGAGTGTCCAGACCCAAGGAGGGCATCCCTAGTTTTCAGGCCACTGGCTACCTCAATGACCAGGCCTTTCTCCACTACGATAGTGAAAGCAGAATGGCTGAGCCCCTCGGCCTGTGGGAACAGGTGGATGGGATGGTGGACTGGGAGAATGAAAGTCAACTGCAGCAGGCCAGAGAGGACACCTTCATGGAGACCCTAAAAGACGTCATGCACTATTACAGGGACAGAGGTCAGTGGGCTATGGATTGCTGGGGTGGAGGGTCTTCGCACAAGAGGCAGCCTGCATTTGAGAGTGGAAAGGGTTCTGCAAAATGGAAATACTTTTTACCTAAATAGAGTGGAAGAACAAATGCAATTATACAGATATTTCTGCACCCCCTTCCCCCACATCACAGCTGCTTTTCTTCCTTTCCCACCACTTCCCATATCCTTACTTTCAGGCCTCAACTCTCCCGGGAAGTGATGTCAGTGTCAGCCCTTATCAAGGCACATCTGACCTCTCAGTTGCACATCTCCCATCCATCTGAGCTGAATCCCACTTCAGAAGGTGTCAGGCTCACCCCCACCCCAGGGATGTTGGGTGGGGAGTGAGTTAACCTTGGGTCATTCTGACCAGGGTTCAGGTGCTGGCTCTGCCAGTCACTAGCTGTTTCACAGTCAGTGTTCTTAATTAACTGGTCTGAACCTGCAAAAAATGGATCATTGAGTCCTGCCTTCATGAGGTAGGACTTACCTAGGTGAATTCCATGAAAGATAGAACACAGACTGTCTTGATCTTCCCTAGAGTCCCATCACCTAGGAGAGCCAGTAATACTTGCTAAAATAGAATGAAGAGGTTGTAACTCCCTTCCTGCAAATGCCATTTTCCAAGAGTTGTTGCTAATTGGGAAGGAAGGTGGGCATTAAAGGTTTGTCTGAAGATATCAAAAACCTGAAAAGAGAGAACTGATAAAATCATACTGACCCAACTGAAGACATCAACTTTGCATATAACTGGAAAAAAGGACAAATTGCATAATCTATTTTAAACTATAAATAATTTCTGTTTAACTTGTCAATGCACTTCTGTGTGCTTGTGTCCAGTTCCTAACCCTCACAATATATCCAAAGTTTAAAGAGGTGCTGCAAGGGGCTAGAAGATCCATCCACAGTCTGTAGCTCTGTGAAATCCCCTGGCTGGGAAGAATGCATCTCACCTCAGACTGGCCTAAAACACCAAAACATACTAAGTTTTCCATTTTCTGTCTGCTCTATATCTGGCTAATAAGCCATTTGCCAAGATAGAAGGGGTTATATGTTTAGATTTCAAAACCCTTGCCCAGCAAGTGTGGCTCAGTGATTGAGCATCGATCTATGAACCAAGGGGTCACCATTGGATTCCCTGTCAGGGCACATGCCCCAGTTGTGGGCTCGAACCCCCAGTAGGGGGAGTGCAGGAGACAGCTGATCAATGAGTTTCATCATTAATGTTTCTATCTCTCTCTCCCTCTCCCTTCCTCTCTCTGAAATCAAGAAAAACTTTTTTTTTTAAGTATGTGTATTGCTATAGTACACATTTAAAACAAAACAAAAACCCCTTTCTTCCTATTGGGTTGCAAACTATGTAGGAATAAGAGTTATTAAGATGAAGTTGACACTAGGCTGACTGATTTCTGGGGCTTCGGGTGGATGCAGGAAATCACACCTTTAAGGGAAGATTCGGTTGTGAGCTTCGGAATAACAGCTACTGTGGAGCATTCTGGAGGTATGCCTATGGTAGACGGGACTACATCAAGTTCAACACAGAAATCCCAGCCTGGATCCCCCTGCAACCAGAAGCTGTGAACACTAAGGTGAAGTGGGAGACAGAAGGCTCTGTGCAAGCAGCCAAAGACTACCTGGAAAACCAGTGCCCCAAGATGCTACAGCACTACCTGCAATACAGCAGGCCATTCCTGGACCGCCAAGGTACCCACTGCTCCCTATGTCCTGCTACCCCGCACTGAGCTGAGAACGACCAAGGTGACCCCAGCCTGGGACCTCAGAGCAACATTTCAGGCAAATCCTCTAGTCATTTCTCTCTCTGATATGCCTCCTGGCTTGGCTGTGGGGAGAAGGCAGGTGTGTAAAATGTCTGCCCAGGAAGGATGAAGATGAGTAAGTGTGAGCAGGATTGATTGACATAAGCTGAGACCTTGGTTTAAGAATTAATCAGAAAGAAGTTCTTGTGGGAGGGAGGAGGGAAAGGTCTCAATGACAGAGCAGCAGGCAGAACTAAGGGATGGGGCTCAGACTCAGGGAGGCAGGAGCCACAAAGCCCACTGAGAGGTTTTGGAAAAAACAAAACAATGCATGGAGCATTCACGTTTCTTGCTATTAGAAGTCAATATACAGTGGGTGAGCAGAGGGTGCTGGGAGGCAAGAAAGTAGCCATGGACATTCCATTATCCAATAGGGAAGGCTCATGGAAAGCCTCAGCTTCCCTAATCTTCTAGAAGTTCCCCTAAGGAGTCAGGGAGAAAGCTGAGAGGTCTGCTTATCCCTGAGACGTGATCAGGGAAATGTCTCTTTCAGACCCTCACCCTCCATGCTATCTCTCTTTCCAGATCCTCCCTCTGTGTCAATCACCACCCACAGGAACCTAGGACTCATCAGGATCCTCAAGTGCGTGGCCTACAACTTCTACCCACGACCAATCAGTATGTACTGGACTCAAGCAGGCAAACCAGTGGAGACTGAGTCATGGGGAGAGAGTCCTCTCAGTGAAAATGGCACTTACCAGTCCTGGGTGATAGTTAAAACCCTCTTTTTGGACAGAGGCCCTTACTCCTGCCATGTGCAGCACAGCAGCCTGGCCCAGCCACTCAATGTCACATGGAATGACAGTCAGTAATTGGGGGCTAAAGGCTCCTCAAGGTCTAGAGGCCAATAGGCACCCTTTGATCCAGACATGAGAGAGATAAGCTCTAGAATGACTGTCATCGCCATCAGTGAGGCCCAGAGAAGCAGTGAAGGGGGTAGACAGGTGGTGAATTTGGAGACACAGGACTTGAATGCTGGGCACTGAACTGACTCACTGCTACATTTCCCCTCAGAACCTGATATCTAATCTGTGAAATCTAATCACATTAATTAACTAGCCAATACACAAAATAAACCAGATTATTAAACGGTCAAATACTGTAGAGATGTCAGCAAACGTTATCATTCATCCTGCCCCCAATCATTTGAATCATCTGAAATTCTTGGTATTTGCTGGAAGCAATGTTTACTGGACATCTTGACCTGGGACCCCCAGTGTAGTGTGGCATGACCACCAGGTACCTTGAGCATTGTTCAGGTGCCCACTGCTGATATTCCCTCCGGTTGTACGGTCATAGAACTCTGCAACCTCTTTAATACAATCTGTTACCGCAGTTTCCCCAGCATTTCCTTGCCCCTTGTGAGACTGCCCTCCACTCCAGCTACCCTCGGGGCCCACACGCAACTATATGTTATTTGAGAGGCTTCATCCCTCCAGAATGCACTCCCAGGGAAGCAAGACTCAGCCTAATGTTCTTGGACTCCTACCAAATTCATTTTATTTTATTTTGTTTTGTTTTTTTAACTGAGTCGTGTTTTGTTTTTAACTGAGCCACCTACTACTATGCACAGGTTTAAGTACCTGGCCAGGGCACATACAAGAATCAACCAATGAATGCATAAATAAGTGGAACAATAAACCAATGTTTCTCTCTCAAATCAATAAATTTTTTAAAATTTACCTTGTTTCCTGCTAGAACTTGCTGTTTAAGCTCAATAAACCTTACTGTTCATGAGACATATATAGTGTTTCTATTTCCTTTGCTCAATTATTGATGGACTCCTTGAAGAATTGTATATTGAGTATCTGTTTTATGCTTGGTACACCAATAAGCACTGGAGATCCAGTAAAATAAGGTAGGTACAGCCCCTTCCTGAATGGAATTTACCTCAATTCTGCTTATTGAAACAATATCCCATTGTCAAGGTCCAGCTCAAATCTCATCTTCTCCTCCCATGACCACTGCCATGATCACCAATTCCAATATGTACTCTTTTCATGCTGAGACTTCTTTCAGAAAAAAATATCAAGGAAAATTTCAAGAAAGAAATTTAAATAAAGTCAATCCCTATACTCTCTAAGGATGTCTCAAGCAATCCAAGACCACCCATAACAGATCCACTCTTTTGTTCCTTCTCAAATGAAAGGGAAGGTAAATAAAACTGAAGAAATTAAAGCTGGGTAGAGGTGGGTGGAAAAAGATAGGAAAGGCCCAGAAATCAAATTTGCCAATTTCTGGATCCCAATTCAGACTTTTTTCCATTGCTCACTATTAAAGTTTTGGTGAATACATCCACCCATTTGTTTATTCAATAAATGTTTATTGAATGTCTCTCAGTTATAAGACACTGAGATAGATGTTTAGGTAATAAAGAAATGAACCAGAATATATCATTCCACACAGTGATAAAGTCACAAAGGTGTTTTGGGGTCAAGCTGGGGAGTTTTGAATAATGTGCTAAGGTCCTGATATTTCTTTTGAGTTTAACAGTTGAAGATTTTCTGACAGTAGGATGACACAATCAGAATTATGATCATGACCAGATACTAATGAGTACAGTGGATTGGAGGATGAACAGAGAAAGTAGCTGCAGAAAGGTGCCCCTCATGGTCGAAAAGAAGAGGTGCAGCCCAGTCAGTGCAGTTTAGTGGTTGAACATTGACCCATGAACCAGTAGGTCACAGTTCCATTCCCAGTCAGGGCACACGCCAGGGTTGCGGGCTCGATCCCCAGTAGGGGGAGCGCAGGAGGTAGCTGATCAATGACTCTCATCACTTATGTTTCTATCCCTCTCTCCCTCTCTCTGAAATCAAGAAAACATATTAAAAATAAAATAAAATTAAATTAAATTAAATTAAATAATTAAATTAAATTAAAAAATAATAAAAGCAAAGTTGCAGGCTAAAAGCCTGCAGAGATTGGAAAGAACCCCAGGTGGCCTAAACTGAACTTTTCCCTGAAGCCGGTATGGCAAATGGTCCCTCCTGCCCCTCCTGCCCCTGGCTGCCCAAAATGCAGAAGGGGGAAGACTCCTAGACAGCCTCACCAGACGCCTCCTCCCCCAAATATGCTGCTCCTTCTTATCATTTTTACTTTACTGCATTGTATTGCATTTTATTTTCCTCCCTCCAGGTATGGGGATTAAGTTCATCATAACTAGGAAGTACACACCATATGATCAGCCTCAGACAACTCAAGACCCAGCTAGTTTTTCTTTATGCAGTTATTTTCCCAATTTTTACACATCCTCACGTTGCAGACCCTTGGCTGTTTATAGATCAGCCTTTGTTCCACACACCAGCTTCTGGTAGGTTCTCTCACCACCAGGCAAATGAGTGAGGTGAGCAGCCTCAGCAGCTGTGGTGATAGACATTTACTACCCATCTCTCACTCTCTCTGCCGTGAGTTATGAAACCTCTATGCTGAGAGTCTTTAATTTTGAGAGATCACATTCTGAGGTACTGGGGGTTAGGGCTTCAACATATAAATTGGAGGGGGGGCACAATTCAGCCCATAACGTTGCTCTTATATTGTAAGCTCCTGCTACTCTTCCTAAGAGCTTTCCTGGCTCTGGGCTGGTACTTTTTCTACACATTGCAAAACTGTAAAGGCCTTTTGGGGTAAGAGTGTGTCTTCTTAAGCATCCCACAGAGTGAAGAATTAAGTCCTGAACATCTGGATTTTAATATTAGAAATTAACCTGCTTAAATATATTGCTATTATTGACCCAATTAAGTAAATTGCTTTCATCTCATCCTCTGTGTTCTATTTACCACATTTTTTTGTTACTTCAAACTTACCACGTGTGGTGAGGCATGAAGCTTAGGGCACAATGCTATCTATGCAGCACCTGCAATCTTGCAGAACTGTGGCCACCAACTGTGTTTGATGACAAGCAACAGACACTAGCTGGCTCACCTTACCCCAGAACTACAGGCCCTCCACACACACAAAGAACTTCACTGGTAAAATTTTAAGTAGCTCGCGGATTCAAAGGAACAGCTGAGGAACCGGTCTCTCGGGGGCCAACACTAGGGATTCCACCAGCAAGAGGTAGCTGGTGATCTTCTCACCCCGATGGTGGTGCGGGCGGTCCAGAGGCCCGGGGCCCAAAGGCCCGAGGCCCACTGTGGGTTTTGGCCTTCGCTCAGGAAAGAATTCAAATGCCAGCCAGCATAGAGTTTAAAGTGAAAGAGAGTTTATTAGTGAGACGCAGAGTGGGCTTCTTCACAAACAGAGCAGCCCTTGGCTAGTGGGATTTACTTCTTTTGCTGAGGCTTGTTTCATGGAGAGGTAGGGCACTCAACAAGGGGAAGAATACTCAGGGATTTTCTGGGAAAGGGGTGGAGCCTTTTCGGGAGAGCACCTTAGGTCATTTTGTGCCCTTATACGGGCTTTCTGTTTTCAATCCTGTTGGCGAAGGGTGTGTGTTTAGCACACAAATATATTATAATGAGCGTATAATGAGGCTAAATGTTACCACAAGGTGGAATTAGTCACCATGTTGGATCAAGCTGGTCTTCTGCCTGTTCTAAGCCATAAATCCACTGGGGTTGGTCTTACTGTCTTCTTGACAGTTCTTGTAGCCCTTACTGGTTACAGTTTTGCCACATACCATATCTCAATGGCACTCAGATAAATCAGCCCCAGCCAGGTTCATTTGTCACTCAGCTCAAAATTCAAAGTCCTGGGGGAGAGACTGATCAATCAGCCTTGTTTGGGCTGTGTTCTCACTCCGTGGCTGGTGAATTGGCTGACAGTCCCACTAAACCCCCCTCATAACAATAGAAAGAGAGTAATTCTCTAGAAGATAGAAAGAGAGGCATCTAGGGAATCAAAAAAATACTGTAGAGGGGACACAAACAAATAAAGAAATTGCCATAAAATTCTGTAAACTATAAATCACTTGATAAGGGAAATACAGGAGATTGTGAGAGCCTACAGCAGGGAGAGCTCCCAGAGTTTAACGTCAGGGAAAGAGGGGGGATAGAAGTTAGCTAGGCAAAGAGAACCTAGGCACTTTGGGAACTGAAGGCCATTTCTGCATCAGGGAGGGGGAGTTCATTCTCATATTATTATTTATTACTGTATTATTTTACATACAAAACTTCTGATTACAAGGTCAGTGCTATATTCACTGCACCTGCGCCCCCCAAGTTCAAAGTCATACAGACTCTTCAGACAGGAATTCAGAAGCATTTGAAAGATACTTCTTGAGGCCATATGAGTAATCACCAAGAAAAACTTCATCACTAAATGAACCACGTGCAGGATTTTAAAACACATTGTGCGGGTCTGTCTGCATCAGATTTCCTTCTTAAGCTAATGGGGGGGAAACTGTGGCCTTCAGGACTCAGGAAAGACATTTCTGCCCTAGGTTGCAGGCGCAGTTGCAGTTGCATATTATCGCCACGAGAGGGCACTATGTACCCTGCTAAGGTTTCGAAGAGGTTCTTCCAGTCGCTCTAAGAACCTGAAAGGCTAGCGGGGAGCACCTGCTGAGGAGGGGAGAGGAGGACGTTTCTCTTTAAGAATATTTGTTGGTCTCTTTTATATTTATGGCGTCGTCTCAGTCTGTTTTCACACCTGTCCCCAACACTTCCACATGGACGTCATGAAGACACTTCAGTATCACAAGTCCAAGTTCCAGCATGGTTTTCTCCACTCCACCTCATCCCCAAAGAAAACAAAAACAACTCCGCCGTCCTCTCTCCTGCCCTCCACCTCCACCTCACCCTCCCTCTCCACCCGGCTTCTCTGTCTCAGTTAAGTGCATCTTTATTCTCAAACTAAGACCATTGGTTCCTGTCCCCTCCCTTTCTTCCCATTCAGCCAAGATGTGACCAAAGCCAAATTATGCTTTAACTCTGGCCCCTTTCTCCATCCAGACTGCACCTCTCTCACTGTGCCTCAAACAGGTATTTTGGAGCCCCTCCCAAGTCTCCCTCCCTTCCAATCAGCCTCAATACTCTGATAACTAAGGTAAGATCACATCGTTTCCCTCTTTAAATGTTAAGATAAGGTGGAAACAACCCAAATGTCCATCGAAGGGTAAATGGATAAACTGTGGTCTATCCATACAATGAAATATTAATCAGCCTTAAAAAGGAAGAAAATTCTGCCACATGCTCCAACATGGATGAACCTTGAGGACATATGCTAAGAGAGAGCAAAACTTGGATTAATCCAAAACTGGCTGTTGGACCCACATACTTTTATCAATAGACCTGGCTTTTGAGACAAAAGTCCCAACACATGGGAAATGGTGGGACTGAGAGGTCAACTTCTAACATACACTATTTTATAATAAACCTTTAATTAGCTATTTTCCCAGTCTCTAATTTCCACTTTTAACTAAGCAAAATTTCTGGGTTGAATTTAGTTTTCTCAAGTAGACTTTTCTACTAAAGAAAGAAAAGTTCTCTATCTCCATTCTGTAGCTGGGAATAGCTTTACCTAAGAAGTAATAAAGCTGGCATTCTAGTTTTCAAACAAAGTTTTGTATCTTTGGTTACTGAAAATTTGTCTGAGGTATCTTAATATAGTGGCTAAGAGGATAAACTAAGTCTAGAATTAGCCCCAGGGCTGCTCTTGGGTCTTCCAGTTCCAATGTGGCTACTCTGCAATGATGGTGATATATGATTTTTATCTGTCATTCTGTTTTCTGGTGTATCACATTTTTTTCAACTTGTGTATATTGAACCATCCTTGCATCCCAGACATAAATCCCACTTGATCTT